GGTTTCCAGCTGGAAAAGTCAGAGGGAAAAATGACACCTGATCCCAGGACAAGCAGGCAGGCAGCAGGGATGGTGCTGCTTCGTGCAGCCCAGGCCATCCAGTCACCTGTCTCTGCATTCTGTCCTCCCCTCCCTCCCAACCCCTCCCTCTGTATCTGTCAGTCCCTCGATCTGCCTTTCCATCTACTCATTAACTTCTCCATTCAATCCATTTCTGTCTGCATCTGTCTCATTGATATGCAGCTACTGGAGAGAGTGAATGGGTTGGGTTTTTTTTTTTTGCCAAATTTCTATCCAGCTATTATCTTTCCTGAGCAGTTGTATATATTTTGCAATCTATGTTTTTCAGCTCCATTACATAATTTAAAAGGGCAAACGCATAGAAGCTTCCCTGTCTTCTATCCTGTATGTCCCAGGAGAGCTTTGCCCGCTACTGATAACAATCTGCTGGTGATCCCTGGCCCTAGGGATGTCCAGCTGTCCTTGACCAAGGCCAGGGCCTTCTCAGTTCTGGCCCCAACCTGATGGAACTCTCTGCCAAATGACACCAGGGCCCTACAGGATCTTATGCAATTCCGCAGGGCCTGTTAGGCAGAGATGTTCTGGCAGGCTTTTGGCTGAGGGCAGCAATAGTTTTTCCCTGGCTGGCACCCCCCCTTCCCTCCCCACTCTTCTGCATTTCTGTCCTGAGTTCCCTCTCCCCTTGCCCAGAAAAAGGCCAGGTAGTCCAGAATTGGATTAGAAAATTTACAGGATGCCATCTTGGATCTTTATTCTGGTTTCTTACTTTTATCAAATTGTATATTGAATTGTATATTGAATGTTTGTATACTTTTATGGCATTATGCCTCTTTGTACATCACCCAGAGCTAGGTGTAAACTGGGATAGGGTGATTAATTGAAACAACAACAACAACTCTGGCTATTGGGTTCTGGGACTGAGAAACCCTAAATCCCTAACAAAATTCCTCCTGTGCCTTTTACTTAAGCCACTATCTGTTTTACAGCTCCTATTGATAATGGACACAGCTGCAAATTATTCATAAATTAACGAGGGGGAAAAGTTACCTTTAGAACTGTTCCCCCCATCTGTGATCTAACAGGCACCAGGAATAATATAGAAAGGGAGTTCAGATAGCTGTAAATTAATTGCACGTTAATTAAACCTGCAGCTCTACATACATTTACTAGAGTGCAAGCCCCACTGAACTCAGTGGGACTAATTTCAGAGTAAACATGCTTAGGACTGCACTGCATGTGTAATGTATGTCCAAATAACAGATGTCTACATCTGGGTGACACCCCCCCCCCCAGTGCTGGCGGGAGTGCAAGTTCTGTTGTTTACATTAGCATCAAAAGCCAAATGGTCTGTCTGAGATGGAGAGTTGACCCAGTTCTCTGATGAAGCTGTTGTTGACTGTGTTCCTTTATCCGCACAAATCACATCCCCCTGAATTGAAGACATTTGCCGTTCATTTAACTGCTGTTTAGAAACTCTCTGACACAATGCAAAGTTACTCTGATTTTCCAAAATTAGCAAGTGTCAAGAAAGATCTTGCTAGTTCTGCAGCACAATGTGTGGCTTTATATTGTTGAATGAAGGATATACTAAAATGAATGACAGGAATGGCCACTGAAAACTGGAATGCAAATTGAGTTGCATGGGCTTCTTTAAATATATTACAGCACACAAAGTTGTAAAGAAAATGCAGAGCAGATTTAGAGAAACCTGTTCTGTGCCTGGACTGACAGCCCCCAAAGTGGAATGACAGTGCCTGGGACCAGATAAACTCCTCTGGGACTGGAATGGGACTTGAATCAATGCTCTGGGATTGGAATGACAGCCCCCAGAGTGGAATGATGGTCCCTGGGACAATATATACCACTCTGGGACTTGAAAAACAGCTTCCAGAGTTGAATGACAGTCCCTGGGAGTTGAATCTGTGCTCTGGGACAGGAACAACAGCCTCCAGTGCTCTGGGATTGGAATGACAGTCCTCAGAGTGGAATGAATGACAGTTCCTAGGACTGAAGTCAGTGATCTGGGACTGGATTTATACTTCCTGATAGGAACGTCATGAACCTAGATGGAAACAGAACAGATGAGAAGCAGGAAAACAAATTAGTCAGAGATGATTAACTCCCCCCCCCTCTGGTTCTTTTGGCACTTGAAAACACAGGGATGAGGGATAGATCTGCCATCCTCCAGGTGGGGGCTGGATTTTCCCCAGAATGACAGTCTTGAGACTCCAAAGATCAGCTCCCCTGGAAAAAAATGGCTACTTTGGAAAGTGAATTCTATGACATTATACCCTGCTGAGATTCCTCCCTCTTAAACCCAGCTTCCCAGGGTCCACACCCAAATCTCCAGGTATTTCCCAACCCAGAGTTGGCAACCCTAGTGGGGAAGAAAGTGCTCTGCACTGCAGGCCCAATCAGGATTGGGCTCTCCCGGTATTTTAAAATCACCTTAAAATGGCGACGGCAAACTCATGACAGCCAGAAGTTCTCTGTCACGTAAAGTCTGGTCCTTTGTCATCAACTGATAATGATACCAGCAGATAGTCAACATGCCCAGAACATTCATACCAGGGCAACCTCATTCCACCCCGGAGCTGTAATTCCAGTCCCAGAGCATTGAAACCAGTCCCAGGACTGTCATTCCACTCTCAAGGCTGTCATTCCAGTCCCAGTATTTCCACTCTGGGGTCTGTCATTCCTGTCCCAGAGCACAGATTTAACTCCCAGGGACCATCATTCCACTCTTGGGGCTGTCATTCCAGTCCCAGAGCAGTTTATCTAGTCCCAGGAACCATCATTCCACTCAGGGTCTGTTGTTTCAGTCCCAGAGCACTGCAACCAGTCCTAGACTCCTAGGGACTGTCATTCCACACTGCAGTCTGTCATTCCAGTTCCAGAATGCATCCATTAAGACAGCTTATTTGGTATGGTCACTCACAGTTTACTTTGTACGATGGCCCATCCAGGGCTGGCCCAAAGTTTTTTGGTGCCCTAGACATACTATAGCCTTGGCACCCATCAATTCCAGCATTCCATTTTCTATAGTGCCCAACCAGATGTTTTTGAGAAACCAATAAATGTCACGCAAAGGATGCAGCTGCCCCCACTGTTAACCCCAGGAGTTCATTTCCTCTTCCTCTTCCAGCTGGGCCAGGGCTGGAGTTTGAAGACGTGCACTTGGGGGAGGGGCACTGGGGTGCGGAGATATGCAAAGATGACAGATGGCAGTGATGAGGCTGGCAGAAAGGGGCTCTGTGCAGAACATTTCCCACAGCAGTCAGAGGGCAGCAAGGCACTGCAGGAGTCTGTGCAAGAGGCTGGGCTGCCGAAGGAGCAGCACCAAGACAGAGCCCATGCAGGCACATGCCTCTTTCTGTCCTCTGGTTTTTCTATGGCATTCTGAATGGCTCCCACCTACTCTCCAACCTTCCCCCTCCCTTGTTTCAGCTACTACCATGAAGTTACTAGTTGCTGGACAGCCCCCCCCCCTTCTTGTAACTAGGGGAGGGGTAGATGAGAACCTGAGAGGTTGGCAAGGAGGAAAGAAAGAGGATAGAAAGGGCAGGAGCGGCTACTAGGGAGGTCTGGCCTGGGAACCGCTTTCAGAGGTTTCACAACCCATTTTTGGGTCCCAGCTCACAGACTGAGAAACACCGCATTAAGGGGCTTTAGCTATATAGCAGGTTTTCCTTTTGAGAGGCCAAAACCACTTCTACTCTTCTTGTTGTGCCCTAGTTTTGAGAACAGATACGACTTTTTAGGGCTTTTTTCCTGGGGGAATGTTCTGGAACCTCTTTGATAAAATTCGTTTACAAATGTTTAAAAGTTCATGAGTTTTCAGTATACAGATTGAAAACTTCATTTCCCTCTTGAGAGATCCAGGATCATCCAGCACCTCTTTTTCAAAAGAAAAAGGGGGGGAAAGGCCCTGGTCTTTACAGATTCCCTATTGGGAATCCACTCTCCTCTACACGTATCTTCTTGCAATTTTGTTACCGGGGACAGTGTTTCAAATGTCGCTTTACTGAACAGTACCTCTATCCTTCGATGAGCTGGAAGAATTCTGCAGACCTCTGCCATTCCCTCCTTATAATAATGCTACTAATAAGAAGTGGCACTCTGATTTTCCCAGCGAAAGGAGTTCTGTGCTCTTGGCTCAGTCCGGAGGGGCTGACAGCGCCCTGCTGCCGGACTCCAGCTTCCCCCCGGGAGAACGGGGAAGTAGCAGCGCGGAGACCAAGAGTAGAAACTTTCCGCTAAGCCGACAGCT